TGCCAGGATGCTCTCAAAGCTGGAAATGACTGACTAGAGGTGCTGGAGCACTTATGTAAAATATCTAAATAAATCTTTAATATTTCTAATTGCAAATGTACATAAATTGCACAGCCACATCATTTCTTTGAACACCAACAACTTTCTCTGTACATTATTACATAGTTTAAAAGGAGCTGAAGGAGATTCAGCAAACACTTCCACTTTGCTTTTTTGTTTTTTAAACATACTTACAAAAAAAGATTTTTTTTCTTTATAAGAGGATATAAAACATAGCGACTGCTTATCAGGAACAAGTATCAGCCTAAGCAGATATACAGAGAGAGGTATATCTTAAGACACAGTGATGTATGATAAAGGAATATGTGAACATGGAGGCTGCACTCGGGTACTGGTAGCTGATGCAGAGCCACATGGCATTTACAGCAATGTCACAGCTCAAGTGACCTGTGAAACTCAATGCTTGAACGTGACACCCTTTTCAAAGCGTGGTTGTTTCTGAACGTTGTGCAACGCCCTCAGGATTGGCTTTGGTTTGTAAAGCCCATGAGCTGCATGTTTGCATGCTGCTGTCGCCCTCCTGCTCCCCCATGTGTGATTTTCCCCAAGGAAAAAGGCAAAGGCAACAGTTGTCTGTGCGGGGTCGGAGCAGGGCAGGTGCCACAGTCTGAGCCTTGTGGCTAAGCAGTGTCCTCTGACACTGCTCTGAGGCACCACAGACCTGCCTGGAGATGGGCAGTGTCCCATCCTGTGGCCCTGAGGCCATGGCTGACCCACGCCAGGTCCCAGTCTTGGCCAGGCTGGAGGCCTGGATTGCTTTGAACGCAAACCTTTGGGAGGAGGTTGACCCCAGTGGTCACTGTGGGTGGGTAGGACGGAGTATCTGCCCAGGGACAGTGTCACAGTTGTTCCCTTTGGAGTTCTGCTTCGCACTCTCCAGGCAAAGCTGTGTGTGAAGGACAGGGCAGGGACCTTGGTGGAGCTGCTGCACACAGCTGGTCACAGGCTGCTGTCAAAGGCATCACCTCGGGGTGCTCCTGCTGCCCCTTGCAGATCAGACTCACAGGCCACAGCCCAGGGCTGTCCTGGCTGAATGTATCAGTGTATGTGCCATCTCCAGTGACAAAATCCTCTCCTTGTCCATCACAGAAGAGACCTCAGTACATTTTTTATTGCATCTGGGCATTAGGGACAAAAACCTGTGAGCTATCTAAACTCTGGGAGTGATTGATTTCTTGCTGATTGCTTTCCTAGGAGAGCCTGTGACACTTCACTGAGGTCCAACAAGACCCTTTGCCCTTTGGGAGTATTTGTAGTGGCAGAACCTGTGTCCTGCACCCTGCAGCAACCTATGGGGTTGGCTCCCAGGCCAGAGGGTTCTGCCTGTTCTCACAGTGCAATCAGTGCTTTACAGCTGCAAAAGCAGAAAACAAAACCAACCAGACTCAAATGACAATGCAGAGTGACTCTTTGGATGGCGGCAGGATTTGCTTAAACTGGTGCAAAAGGGGCTGGTGACTACACTGTAGTATTAGTTGGCATGGGGAAGGACTCGGGTCCTTCCCATCTTTTGGCACTGAAGCCATAATCCCTGTCCAAAATGATGATACTCACAGTCTGCAGAGACCTTGGGTCAGTCTGTTTCATCCCCCCTACACAAACTCGCTCGGTTTTCAGGAGCTTTCACTACAGTTTAACAAAACCCCAAATCAAAACTCTTAAAAACCCAGAGGTGGGTACACTGCAAATCTGAATCCCTGACTTCCCCCTCTTCTCTTCCCCCCAGATGCCCGAGGGAGGAGGCTGGAATCACACCATGGCTCTGGATCCAGGTTTGGCAGCTCGCGCTCACCTCTCCGACACAGCAGTGAGATACAGCCAAATCCCAACCGAATAAGCAGCACCAGAAGTAAGTTACTATATACAACTGTTAGTGAGATAGATACGGTACAGTAAACACTGAGAACATTTACAAAAAAATATTAAGACTTGTATTAAGATAAAAATCAGAGTGTTTTTGCTTTGTTCACACTTTGACGCGTTTGCACTAGAACAGCCTCTTACTGTAGAAAGCGCAAGAACCGGAAAGGAAATGGAGCCGATGACAAAAACCTCAGGGATTAGTGGTTGTTTGCTCTGGTGCTGGAGCACCTCTGGGATCACCTCTGGTATTGCTATGCCAGGTACCAGCTCCGAGGCCACGGCAGGTCACCTGGGGGGCTGCAGGCTCCCTCACTCTCTCACACACACACACACACAGAGATAAATGTACAGTTCATAAATAACAGAAACACAAACTGAAGGAACAGAACTGAACTGAGCCTGGATCTGAGCACCTGCCCCCAAACCTTTGTAGGGGAAGGTCACGGTTAGGTCCAGTTGTTGACAGTTGCAGGGAAGGAGACAGGGAAAAATGGGGTGGGAGAAGCTCTACTGTAACCAGACTTTATCCTGCTTTGAATTCCTTTTCATACTGGCTTGGGAAACTAAGCAACAACTCCAGAAGGTGTTGGCACTGGAACTTTTAAGATTTTAATAACTGGCTGTGGAAGAATTTAAGCTTTCCTGCTATTTCAGCAGAACAATGTGTTCAGTAATTTGCAAGTCTGAGGTTACCCAGGAGTTTGTGACAGATCGGGGCAGGGGGAGCAGTGCCTTGGCTTGTGGTTGAGGAGAAGATTAAGATGTACTGTGCTTAGCTTCAGCACTAAACAATTGGTTTGTGGGTGTTTCTTTTTCCAGCTCTTATAGAGAGCACTGACTGCATCCCAAAATCACTTCCATGTAGGAATGGAAACACACTGCTGGTGGACCACCTGCCCCCGTGCCCTGTTAGCATTTCCATTCCTCTATGTTACTTCTGTCTTGAAAATCTCCAGTCTCTCACAACACAAATACTTAGAATTCAAAAACAATCAGCTCTAAACATACATCTCAGGGCAACAGCGTTTAAAATAGTCTTTTTTGCAGGGTTCTGATCATGGATTTGACTCTGAGGCAGTGGCAGATGTAAGTGTACGTACCCAACGGTTCACAGTACCCTGTGTATTCCTAAACCTGTCTGGGTCTTTCTCCAGTTGTGACCTTGTCAGCTTTGTGAGGTTCTTCAAAGCCATCTGTGCTAGGCTCCAAAATTCAAAGGTGGCTGTACTTTTGCCATAAGTACTGAGTTATGCCATTGCTCTGAGGAGCTCCGTTTGGGGTCTGCTGTGTGCTGCACCCCTCGGCAGGTGTCGGTGGGGTGTGGAGACCTCAGTGCAACACGTTGGCTCCTCCTGGGCTTGGCCCAGGGCTTCCAGGGACCAGAAAACGTGTAGAAAATAATAATTAAAAAAATCTTTAATTTTGCAAACAATTGCATGAGGAAGAATGCTGTTAAGGAGCCTGATGGCTGTGGGGCAGCATGGCAATGCAGAGCTTACTGGCAAACAGTGTCCTGCTCAGGCAGCCTAGGTAGTGTGAGGCTGGAGACAGTACCTAAGCAGAGCTCAGGGAGCATCCTAGTCCCTCTGTACATTTACACATGGCAGGAGGAGCTAGGACAGGCGTTGAGCAGTGTGTTAACCTTTAGAGGGAGAATAGGCAGATGTCCTGTACACTGTACACTGTCATCCAGCTCAGAGAACCCTCTGCTCTCGGCACGAGGGACCTGCTCTGAGTGGGACTCGCGGAGGACTAACTTAAAAAAAGATCAACAAACCAACAATCACCCCGTGGGGGCACAACCCCCGTGAAGGGGTGACCCCTCCGCGGAGCACAGCGTGTCTGTGTGCCGAAGCTGCGCTGGGAAAGTCTAATCCTGCATAATCCTTATGCCTGCACAGTGCTCCTGACAAGGGACCTTTCGCTGGTGGCTGCTGTTCTTGGTGGTTACTCCCTTATGACCATTGTTTTACATTCTTCGAGCCGGTTAATTTCCATGCAGTGCTCATTCCCAATTTAAAGAGGACAGTATTCCAGAAAATGGGATCTTTTTTTTTCTAATGCATACTGTGAAAGAAAAGAAATACAATTACCGATCTTCATGCTTCTTCAGGGCTTTTTTTCTTGTTTCTTTGTCTGTTTTTTTTTTTTTTCTCCCCAGAAATAGCCAAACTCTCCACACAGAGCATTCCATCCCCACAACAAACCCTTGGTCAAGCAGGAAGCTGCCATGCCGTGTAGCCCCTCACTCCCCCTCTAGCACAAATCCAGCCCCTGGCCCTCAATCACAGCTCAGGGACCAAGCTCAGGCAACATTCGCTTTATTCTGTGGCTGGAAGTGTGTGTGTGGGACAGTGCCTGGGGCTATTGCTTACAAAACTCTTGCCCTGTATTTGTGAGAGAACAGGAGCTGTGGAGAGGAATCGAGTCGCCGTTCACCAGGTGCCAGCTCCTCCCTCCTCTGGTGTGTGCCAGAGCCTTGGCCTTGCTCCGCACCCCTGGGCTGCCCAGGGCCCCCCAGCAGCACCAGTCCTGCCTGTCTCCACACGCCCTTCGGAGTGCGCCCTGCCCTTCCATCTGCACTGTGCTCCCTCTATGGGTGGCGTTAATTGAACACTAATTAGCTGTGTAAATGCCCCGCGGTTGTCAGCCACATCAGGAAGGATGTTGGGCTCGGCTGGGGGTGGCTCTGGGGGGGCTGTGCTCCGCGGGGAGGCACAGGAGGAGCAGGCCAGGCTTTGCTGCCATCCTGCAGCACACTTGGACTGGGCTTTCCTGGGCCCCTGCCTGCTGCAGGCTCTGCCCAGCTCCCTTCACTTCTCTTACTGCAACGACAAGGACGTTACTCCTTGCTGGGAGGGGGTGAGGCATATCCTTTTAGGGCAGTTTGGAAGGAAAAGGTTACTTTAGTTTAAACATCGAAACACTGATTCAAATCCAACAGTGCCAGCGATTCTGAAATATCTGTGATTTCCTTATGCCACTCCTCTGCCACTCGCCGTGCCCTCAGTGTGCTGGCATGTCCCAGCAGGGTCAGTCAGCGCCGTCCGCACGAGGAGCTGAGTGCTGGGGGAGCAGCTGTTGTTTGAAGCCGCGGCTCACACCTGCTGCTGCACGGTCCCTCTGGCCAGGCCTCCTCCTGCGGCAGCGCCCTCCTCGCGTTAACAATTACTGCTGTTTCTGAATTCTCCATTCTCTGTAATCTGCAATTTAGTTGGGTTTGTGGGGGAGATCCCATTACGTGTCTGCATGCTGTACCTCTCTTTCAGCTGAGTAAGGGCACTCATTAGCCGTGCGTTGGCAGCGTCCAGGGAGGCAATGCGTTTCTCCTGCAAGCAAACGGGGACAGGCAGTGAGGGCAGGGCCTGAGACAGCAACACACAGGCCTCTTGGGCCAGGAGCTGTTTGGCACTCTTAGGTGTGGGGTTTTATGTGCTACACAGCACAACAGGACACGTGGGAATGGTCTGAGGTTGTGTCAGGGCAGGTTTAAGTTGGATATTAGACAGTGGTTCTTCCCCCAGAGGTGTTTGGGCACTGAACAGCTCCCCAGGGCAGCGGTCACGGCCCTAAGGCTGACAGAGCTCAAGGAGTGTTTGGACAACGCTCTCAGGCACAGGGTGTGATTCTCAGGGATGTCCTGTGCAGGGCAGGAGTTGGACTAGATGGTCCTCAAGGGTCCCTTCCAACTCTGATGAGTCTGTGATTTTTTTTGAAATCTGCTGCTCTTAGCAGGGCCACAAGTGTCCTTTGCCTGTGCAGTGTGAGCTGCTTTCATTTTAGGCTCCTGAAGAAAATGGAGGTAATACAGTTTCTCTAATTATTCAGTTATGCAGAAATTCATTGTGCTGTTTGCTCTAACTCAGCTGTTACAAAGATGGCAAGATTCCTTTCCTAAACCCAAGCTCTCCCACGACAGTTATTCCTGTCAGTGTTTAATTGATTTTGTTAGTGTAAATTAATAGTTTAAATGACTTGTAGCCTCCCAGGATATCTTTGATGGCAACTCTCACTGATTATAGTATGGCAAGGATGGGAGGAAGAGTTTCTATGTTGCAGTCTGATTCTGTCACTCTTCTCTACAACACTGAGTAACGCATCCTCCTCCTCTGACTGCCAGAACCAGCTCAGGGGGCACAGTAGTTTGTGTGTGTGTCCACGGATGAACAGGTCCAGCATATGTACAGCCTGATGAGACCCAAAGGGAACAGTGTGCAGGGCACAGTCAGAGCCTCACGTGTCCCCCACGAGGTGTAGGAGACAGGAGAGTGTCTGCAGGCACCACTGCTCACCCCTCGTGGACACCTGTGTCTGCTGGCTCTGCTGGCTGATTTACTAGCTTTGAACAAATTACTCTACAGAAAAACACTGGGGTTTTTTTTCCAAAGTTACTACTGTCTCATCTCCTTTTTAATTAGCTATACAGTAAATTAATCACTAGTAGTGACTCACAAGTGATTAATAGGGCTGTTAAATGTTAGTCTAGAATATACTATCACCTAGCCACAACCTGTAGGGAGGCCTGGCTGCTGTGATGTTGGTCTGTGTTAGACAAGCTAAAAGATTATGGGCTGTATTTTCTGATTCACTTTTCTAGGCACAGTGTTTTGCACCCATCACCTGATGCACCTGTTCCACTGTAATTGATAGCAATACCTGAGCCTCCCAATCCTGCAAATAACAATCCAAAGGCTGAAAAAAACATTGGCTTGGCTCTGGCCAGGCTGTGTTTTCCTTGTGTCCAGAGCCTGTTCCAATGGTCCAAGCATTGGGCATGAAGCACCAAGCAAAGCTCCAGGGGCCTAGGACTGAGACAATGAGGATATGATCCTTCCACCCACTGAGTTGTGGGGATGATCCTTCCCCAAACTGCCACCTCCACACCCTCTGTGTCACCTGCCACGCTCCAAGGCTGTAAACAGCTGTACGAATATGAGTGCTGTGACAGTAACTCATGTCCTGCTGCAGTCTGAACACTGTCACCACCTGCAGCTCGGCACCGACTCACCCTGCACAGTCTCACCAAGCTGGGGAGACACTGCTGCACGCTGGGGAGGCTGTGTGAGCACACCCACCTCAACACTGCTGCAGCCCTTGGCATGAGGCACTCACCTGTGCATCAATAATCTTCTGCTTGGAGTCCACAGCAGCCTGCATTTCAGCATGGTCCTTCTTTAACTCCTCCTCGACCGACATCAGTCTGGGAGCAAAAAGACAAGAAAACGTTACCCTTTTTGGGCTCTGCTAAGCCCAGGTATTAGTGTCACACACTACCTCTTCTTACACAAAAATCAAGTTTTTTTCCTGGCTCTTACTCTCCCCTAGGGCTCTCTCTAGCAGACTGCCCAAAGCTGAAGTGACACACAGCATTGATGACTATGAGTGAGAGCACTAAGTGAGCTTGGCTCAGGTAAAGGTGAAGCCAGCTGAACTGGAACAGTCTATGTCCTGGACAAATGCAAACACTATATCCCATTGGGTGAGCAAAAGGGATTTAGAGCTAGGAGTAAGGTATGGTGGTCAGATCCTCAGCTGTATGAACAGAACAAGCCTTCCAGATCCTGAGAGAGCTGAGGCAGGCTGCCAGCTCTCCCCTCCTAAAGTTTGGCCCTAGTGAATCAGGAAAATGTTGGGGTTTTCCTTGTCCCAGGTACCACTGAGAGGGAAACTCACGTGGGAAACCTATATGCACCTCCAAAGAAACCTGATTTCTCCTGACCAGGTGTCCTTGGTTTATGATAAACACAATCCAGCTCTTGGTTCTTGGCTGCTGGCTGAGGTTAAACCACAACACCAGGCATCAGCTCTAACCCCAGCCAGGCTGTTCTGCCTTACTGCCACCCCCAGCACTCCCATCTCCCTGTACCTGCTGATGATGCCCTTCATCTGGATCTCCTTATCCTCCTGCTGCCTGCGGAGCCGCTCCTCGCTCTCCTCCAGCCTGGCCTGGTACTCCAGCACCAGCTTCTGCGTGGTCTCCTCCTGGCATTTGAAGCGAGTCTCGTACTCCTCCAGCTTCTTGTTGGAGATGCGGAGCTTGTCCTGCAGCACCACCAGGTCCTGCTGGTACTGCGGCGTGCAGGGACAGACACGGGAGGAGAAAACACATGTGGCATGTTACCTCGTAGGGCTCTGCCCTCGCCAGGGTTTCCCCCAAACCCGAGCACTCCCCTCTCCTTGCATCAGACTAGCTGCAAACCCGTATCAGATAACCCCTGCTCGCCGACATCTCCTCTTCGTCCTCTCCGCTGCGCCGGGTCCGCGGGGCAGGCAGGTCGCTGGCAGGTGCAGAGAGTGGGCTGTTAGCAGAGCCTGGCATTTCACACGGGGAAATGCAGGTTAGAGCGAGCGAGTGGCAAAGGCATCCAGCAGCCTCCGGCGCCGGCAGCGCGGCCCCTGCGGGCAGGAGGAGCTGCGGCGCTGGGGTTTGGGGTTCACACAGGAGCTCTTCGGTCTGCAGCAAGAAACGTGGAGCTCTGGGCATGCTGGAACATCCCGAGCTGCAGTGACCAGAGCAGGACTCTGCAGCTCGTCCCCCTTGGCCGAGGGGAGGGCACCGCGCCGGGGTGAGCGGCACACGGAGCGCCGAGGCCTTCGTGGCCCAGCACAGTCACATCTCAACCAGCACTGACTCCCCGAAGAGCTGCTGCATGAAGCCAAGACCCCACAGTTGTACTGTTCATTCGGGTGAAGCTATAGATCAGCAGCAGAATCACATAAAGCAATTAAAAAAAATTAAGAGCTTTTGAGCTCGGTGGAACTGGGATCAGCGACTGCGGCAGCACAGCATTCAGTACAACTTGCTTCGCTAAAGGAAAACCCAGGGAGTGTGTGTGGACAAAAAAAACCTGCTTTAATTTCAAAAAATTAGCTATGGAAATAGTCTTTAAAAAAGAATCTCAACTGGAATAACCTTAGAATAATTGACATGCAGCTGATAATGTGACAAGCTGCTTCTAAAGAGTCAGATCTGGGGAGAAGTCTCCCATCTGAGTCAGGAAGGCTGTTAAAAGCTGCTAGTGCTTGTCATGCTCTGGCAGAAATGCATTCTGCTGTGTCTTGCCTTGGCCTTTCCCCTCTGGCCACTGCACCTGGGTCAGTACTGGGTTGTGTCCCAGGCTTGAGAGTCCTCCTGGGGTGTGTGACCCCCCTGGATCAGCTCAGGGGAGAGGGAAGGACAGCCAGCACTCACAGCAAGAACACTGCAGCTCTCAAGGGCTGAAAAATTAAGCTGATGGTCTTCCTGAGCTGCCAAAGAACTGGAGCAAGGCTGGCAGAGGGCAGGACTCCTGAGCTCCTGCCACCCAGGACAGAGCACTCCGGTTTTCCTTTAGCAAAGCTCTTACTGCAGCACGGAAATGGTAGAGTTTGCACATGGCACCTGGAGCAATGAGGGAGCACAACGCCCGCACGGCTGCACAGAAGCATTAAAGGCAGACAGCAGGGAGCTGCTTGAACAGGAAAGAATAAATACCTACCCTAGCCTTAAAATAGGAGCAGCGTAAGTGAGTTCAAAGGATAGCAGGAGAGGCCTCAGGGCCCGAAGGAGTCGCTCCTGTCTCTAGAGCACTCGTCTCATTCTCGGTTACCATTCACGTCTTACGGTAATGGGGAGAGAGATTATGCTAATGGTGATCTCGAATGTCAGTGACTGATGGGACAGCAAAGTAAGGAGATGCTGCATGGCAATGAGACAGCAGGTGCCTGGTCTGGGCTCCCAGGGCACAGGGACTGGTGTGGCAGTACCATCCGAGTCTGTAGCACCACCACTGTCTGCTCTGAGCAGAGCAAGAAATGGGCTGAACTCACAAAACTCTGCCCTGCTCTGCCCACAGCAGCTGGGAGCTGCTGCCCTGTACCTCATGGTCCCTATGACAGCTCAGCTGCCTTCAGCATTTCACTTGGATTTGAGAGGTGACAGTCCCCAAATGCCTCAGCACAGCAGAACCAGCACTGGAAAGCTATTGTAACAAAACCAGAACCATGTCTGTGCTGGGAAACCAGGACAGGGGTTTGAGGAGGGTGATGTCTGCAGTGCTGTGGGACAGCGAGGTGATGTGTGGCTGGTGTGACAGAAGAGAAGCACACTGAGGAAACATCCCAAATCCTAACAGTGACCAGTGCAGAATCAGCAATGATGGGATTTTCCCAGCTCCTGACTGCTAGATCCTCATTTATAATCCATCCTTTTCACCCTGGCCAGGATTGCCCTTTCTCTTCCAGCTTCTCCCATCTCAGGCTTGCCCAGGAAGGAGAGGAGGGGAGCAGCACCCCTCAAGCTTTGCCAGCAGCACTGCAGGCTTGGACTGGACACTCTGGCAGAACCCCACACTGGCCAGGCCCTGATCCGTGTGTCAGTGCACTGCTGAAGTCACCCCAGGCCCCAGAGCTGTCTCTGAGACTAAAATCTGGACTAAATTTTCAGGTCTGTGAACAGCCTTTTGCCATGGAAGCTGCTTCCTGCTACATGTCCCTATTGTGAGGCACAAGGCTGCCTGTACCTGTACCTGTACCTCACTCTCATCTGTTACAGATGTGCTTAATCCACTTTTTAAGCTTTCTTCCCTTCAGCTGTGGGGATCTGGAATGGGGGAGAAAGAGGCACTGGCTGGCTGCAGGGCAGCAGCAGCAGCACTTGATTCCTGGCTCCTGTTTTTCTTACTTGCTTCATCAGAAAGTTATTTCAGTCACTGAGTGTGTGAAAACCTCCCAAACCTTCCCCAGAAGTTCCCTGTGAAGCTGAGCAGGGCAGGGAGCAACCTGGCACCCTCTGTCCTGGGCAGGGACCTGCACACAGCCCACCTCTCCCCAGGGTTCTCAGGGAACAACATTCAAGGAAATCCTCTCTCTATTCAGAAACTTGTTTCAATCCAATCAGGTTTTACCTTTTCTGCTTGGCTGAGCTCGTCCTTATTCCTGAGCTTATCCCTGTGCTTGGAATCTGGGTCAATGCTTTCATCTTCTAAAAACTGCATGTTCATATTCAAAAGCCAAGCAGCAGTGCGGTCCAGGGCATTGGGGTTCACAGGAGAAGGGGCCTACAATGAAACATACAACCATGACAAAAAAAAACCTGTAACAGAAATGGTCATGAAGCTGGAGAAAAGAGAGTTTCCTTCCAAGCAGGCTCTCTCCCATGCTGCTCCAACAGCAATGAACCAGGCTGAGCTACCAGGGCTGGGGGTAGCAACAGTTCCTGTTCTACAGCTGCACAGTGTTTTGGGTCCAGCAGCCTCTAACAGGCCAAATCCTTCCCTGTGGACAAAAAAAAACCTGTAACAGAAATGGTCATGAAGCTGGAGAAAAGAGAGTTTCCTTCCAAGCAGGCTCTCTCCCATGCTGCTCCAACAGCAATGAACCAGGCTGAGCTACCAGGGCTGGGGGTAGCAACAGTTCCTGTTCTACAGCTGCACAGTGTTTTGGGTCCAGCAGCCTCTAACAGGCCAAATCCTTCCCTGTGCCACCTCAGCACAAGTATTTTTTTTGAAAGCACAACCCAGGTGGACATGGTACGTTCACTCCATGAGCACAGATTTCCCCCAGCTCTTCAGCCTGTTACTGAGCCATCTTTGTTTGCTGTGGAGATTCCACACAGGTAAAACAAGATCTGCTCCTTATGGTCATGCAGGTGCCTTCTTGGAGAAGAAAGGTTTCTTTCTGGCTGGATGCTGGAGAGGTCTAAGTGCTCCATATCTTGGTAGCTCTAGGTTTGTTCATGTAGCTGTGAGAGCTGAAGGAGCACTGCTGTTCCATGGCCAGTGAGCTGCAGCCACAGCTGCTGCCTCAGTCCTGGCCTGGGCAGGGACTGCCAATGGCACTGCCTAAGTATTTTCCAACCACATTACAAGAATTAGGAAGTGACTCTCCAGCTATTTCCCTTCCATCCTGCCTTCTTATAAATGGCAGTAAACAGTTGGATGAACACATAGGATCTGGATGACTTGGTCAAAGGAATTCAGTTAACAGATCACAAGTGTTGGGGACTTTCTCCTTCATTCCAGCCAAACCCAGTCACTGTCAGGCAGCAGAACAGGAGACTCTGTATCGCAAGGAGTGGGGACTGGCTTAATCCCTTCACTGCTGTTGGTGGCTTTCCCATGCCATCTTCCAGTCTGGTCTTCTGCCTCCAGAATTATGAATCCAAAGTGTCAGACTGGCTCTTGAACGCCACTTGCTGTAAATCCTCATCCAGCTTGTGGCTTTCTGCTTCTCCTGACACCACCAGCTTGGGCACTGCCCCTGGCGTGGCTGTTCAGTGTCTGATCCAAGGAGCTGTGGCCACCTGGGGTTGTTCCAGCAGCCTAAAGCCACTGGTGAAGGATGTCAGTGAACAGAGCTCAGCCCAGCTGTGCATGGGTCCTTCTGCCTCTTCCTTCCTTCTCTGAAGTACAAAAGGACATCTGAAGGCCTGGGACAGGCATGGAAGTCAGTTCACTAGACAGATGAACTTTCAAGATGTAGAGGAAGCACTTCTGGCTGGCAGCAGTGAGGGCGATGGACTTCTAAAACAGCCACCAAATGGGATTTCTTTGGTCTCAAAGAACATTAAATATCACCCAGGAGGAGCAGTTTCCTTATGGAATGCACAGAGTGAGGATGGGAGAGAATGTTCTGAAGACTTCAGCTCCGGAGAGAAACTTCTTGAGGACCACAGGGGTGTGTGGGGGAATGGTCTGCACAGACCTGGCCAGGGCTTTCCAAAGGTCACCTGGAGTTCATAACTGTCTTTCTGGAAGAAACTCTGCTACAAACAGGTCTGTGCTGCTTGCAGAGCTCTGTGCCCTCTGTCCCTAATGAGTATTGATCGGTGTTACACAAACGCTGCCGCATGGCAATGCTGCTAATGCCAGCGCTTACGGATCGATGCCGACCGCGCGGAACGGCTCCAGCTGGGAGTGTGCACGGCCCAGGCTCCAGAGTGCCTCGTGCAGGAGGCACCAACACCTCTGCCACAGAGGGGCCTGGACTCTGGGCCCAGGTACAGCGAGTTCTTGCTGGTTGTCCATGTCCTCTGGGTTTGTGTTACTTCTACAACTCTTCCTCGAGGCATAGAGAAGCCCTACTGTGTCAATGTTCCTTTGGCTAGTTATGGAATGTGGAGTGAATAAATGAGCGCTAGAAAAGCAATTTGTCCATGCCAGCACAACCAGATGGCCCTGGGCCTGTGACCTACTGCTTTCCACTTTAGCCCCGTGAACAGTGGAATGTACTTCTGTGCAGACCTGCAGTCTGGGAGCAGGATCACTGCAGAGCACGGCACTCTGGGCAGGGGACAACGCTCCTTCCTCACTGCTCTCACCTCGAGATGCACCTGCTGGCGGGTCCCAGAGAGCCACCAGTGTCCAGGAGCACTGCCGGGATGGGAGAGCAGCAGGGAGGCTCCTCGGCACAGCAGCCTGGGGCTGTTCCGAGCCTGGGAGATGGCGCAGGGTTGACTATGGCATGGGATGGGAGCCCGGGCATGGAGAGGCAAAGCGGTGACGGGATGGTCGCGCAGGACAGCGGCACAGCTGCCATGGCCCTCGTGCCTCCGCCACCTACCGCC